ACCCATGAGGAGTGGGATTCTCATTTCTTCAACTAAAGTTCAGGTGATTGTTCTAACCCAAATTATAAGTGTTTAAATTTGGAGAGAATGATTGCCTCGATTGGTTAAAGACATTAACTTCCTCGTGGTACACATCCTTAATTGCTGGAATGTTAGGGCACTCTGATATGAAATGTTCCACACTCTCACAAATCGAGCAAGACTCCTCGATCTTTGAGACATTGGACACCTCGTGTCTCCCATTTACTTCAAGACTCTTCACTTTCCTAGATAACTTGGCAATTTTGGAAAGTAAGTCTTCCTAGTCTCTCAAATCATACATCCCTCCACCAAGTGCTTGATTACTACCCTAAGGAGAACACCTCGGTACATCGGTGGGATCCGTAATGTTCCAAGATTGTGTATTTTGGACCAATGTACTAAAGTATTCTAGGGCCTCATCGGGCTCCTTGTTTAAGAACTCACCATTGCACATCATATCAATGAATTGACGATTGCCCGATGTAATTCATTCATAGAAGAAACTCACCAATTGTCGTGATTCAAAACCATGATGTGGAATTGATTGTACTAACTCCTTGTAGTGATCCGAACAGTTGTAAAATTGCTCATTGTGCTTTTCTGAAAAGTTTTGAATTTGTTTTTTAAGGGCGGTGGTTTTAGGCAATAGAAAGAATTTGTTCAAAAGCTCAAAAACTATTTGAACCCAAGAAGTTATGGATCGAGGCCGTAGGGAATTAAATTACATATTTGGTTTGCCCTTAAAGGAAAAGGGAAACAATTTCAAATGAGCTATGTCTTCCATAGCATGATTAGTGTGGAAGGTTGCAACTATATCCTCGAATTCTTTGATATGCAAATAAAGATTCTTCCTTTCAATTTCGTGGAATGTAGGGAGTAATTGCAACATTCTTGGCTTAAATAGGAAGGCATGAGCTTGGACCGGTAAGAGAATGCATGATGGAGTGGTGCTTCGAGTTGGTTGAAGGTAATCCCTCATTGACCTTGCCAGAGGATCAAGTTGGATGTTGTTTCCTGCATTCCTAGGAGGAAAGTGCATTCTCAAGTTTTGGTCTCTAGGTCCTTGCACTCCTCCTCCCATTGGGACATTTACATTGGCACGTAACTCCTCAAAGTTGTTATCGGCATCCTTGGGTAAGTCTTGGTCAATGTTCATGTTAGGGCCTAAAGGTTGCCTAGCCAATCGGTTTTGTTCTTCCTGTCCCCACATATAACACACTATCTACGAATGAAAATATAGACAAACAAAAGTATATACAAGGATCAACATACCTCAGCTTATGATGAAAATCACAGGACTTACCTCCATTGTCTGAAAATAACCTTCTCAATTCAATGCTTTGCCTTTCCCAAAAATGGCACCAAAAATAGTTGAATTATTTCCCATTGTTGTATCCTAATCTCTGCACATGAACCCTCAATGTGTGTATGCTTATATGTGTGGGTGAGTCAATCTCACTCGAGTTCAATGCAAGAAATGGGAAAATGAGTGTGTGGAATAAAATGTGTGTGTGTGTGTGTGTGTAAACAAAAGTGCTTTCCAAGTGTAGAAAGAATTTTTAGGATCGTATCTTATTTGAAAATTGTATTCCAAGGTCGTCTCCTTAGGGAAGAAAAGGAATTGTATGAAGGTGGTTTTGGTGAAAGAGGTAAAGTGTAAAAATCTTTAATGTTTGAGATTTGTTGGTTTGTGTTCTTGATCAAAAGGGAATGGAAATAAGTGTTGGCTAATCCGAAGAGGTCATTCCAATAGGAATGTCAAATCAACTCAAGACCTTCCTTCAATGATGGCTAGATGTTTGATTGATTCGTAGGAAGAGCGGGACTAAAATGGAGGTGACGATTCAAACATACCCCATGACAAGTCTACAGTGTATCAAGAACTCATAACCACGTCCACACTTAACCTAGTCAAACCAAATCACCGTAAACTACAAGGAGAAACAAAAATGGGTTAATTTGGCATACCCAAGAGGAATTCTCCCTTGGAGTAGCTAGCTTAAAACCTTAGCTACTCATCTCTAAAGCAAAGACCTAAATGTAATGATGAGACACTGTAAAGAAATGAAAATTAGAACTTAGTTTAATGCAAGAAAGCATAAACTATGAAGAGAATTATTCAATACCCACTTTAAAACTTGAAATGAAGAAAAACCTCTTGCAACAATGGTGAAATCGAAAATGTAGAACTAAACTTGCAATGTACTAGTAATAAATGACATTAAAGACATTACATGAAGCTTACACAAGTCTTACAAGAATTACAAGTGAAATGGATGGAAGAAAATGCAAAAACATAAGCTTTGACTCTCTAAACTGTCTTCTTCCCCAAGAGCTTCCCTCTCTATAATGCAACGTATATCAATAATGGTGTATCAAGCTTACAAAAACATCCATGGAGCTCCCTAGGGTTTGTGTGACAGACCTCCCATCCATAGGGGGCTGATCTAATGGATTGGGTAGGCTAGCACAAGCCTACCTTGCACTCCCAAGCTTCACCTTTTCTCTCTGTCTTCATTAATGTCCAAGCCTCGAAAGTCCAAGCTAGGGATGAGGAGGGGATGTCTGTGTGTAAGGAGTGTCAGGGAACAAATGGGAGACCCAATGGTGGGACCCCCAAAGTTGAAGAGCTTGAATTACAAAAATCTGGCATGTTTTAGCAAAACATACTGGTAGGTCGATGGAAACCTACTGATAGGTTTTACTCTAGTAAGCAAAAACTATCGATAGGTATGAAGTAGGTGTAGGTCTAGTAGCCAAAACCTACTGGTAGGTCCTACCAGTAGGTTTTCACTTGTTTTGCTGAATTCTTGGTTCCTTCACCTTCGAAGCTATCATCAAGCTTCCACCTCATCTCCATTAAGCTTAAGCACCATGATAGGGCCTAACATGCACCATTTAAGCCCTTTTCTCTGCAAACATACCAAAACTCCATTAATAGCTCGAAACATTGGAATATCTCTCATTCTCACCATAAAAGCAAGCATAAAAGGGGAGCAAACGTACATAAGATATGCAATATTTTGTGTTAATCACAACCCCCAACTTGAGCTTTGCTAGTCCCTAGCAAAGTTTATTTTCAATTAATAGGTACGAATCAATAATAATCCATTTCCACAAGTAATTCACCAAGCATTCAAAAATACAAAAATCACAATACAGTTAATGAAATGAACTTGGGCAAGATGAAACAAAAACTGTGCCATTTCATTAATTACTTTCAAAAGTTGAGTAAAATGAGTTAGAAGTCAAAAAGAGACAAATTGGCCTACAATTCCTAAAGATTCTTCTACTAGGCCAATAATTCCCTAAATAGCACTATAATTCCCAATCTTTCCGAGTCCACACCTCAACCACTAAGAATGATGTTTAATCCAAAAACATGCAAACACACCTACACTAATGTCAAATGCCCACAAATGTGATGCTACGCATGCATATGCAGTGTAATAAACAATTACAACATTATGTTCAACATGTCATGAGCACAAAATGAACAATTCCACATACTTGATGTAACTTATATCATCAAGCATATAATTACATTCTATCATCATCACAAAGCATGTTATATCAATTTCAATCAAATAACATACTTAATCAATCATAGGTGATGATGCACAAAATAGTCTCATGCAAGATCAATAGTCGAGCATGTTACAAGGTGTAATTAATGCACAATAAATAAAGCAATCAATGGCAGTAATATAAATATTGAGTCAACACACAGATATATAGTGGTTTAGTCTGGGTGACTTGCTCCACTCTAGAAAATGGCAACGGTGGCCGGGGGGTTTTAATTGATCCAGAAAGGTGAACAAGAGAGAGAGAGATGGTTAGCTCCAAGAGAGATACAGTAGCTAAGAGAGATAAAGTGTGTAGAGAGGTGTATAGGCGAAGCTCAATGTGTAGTGAGATGCCATTCTCAATGGAGAGAGATTACAATTTATAGGCATGGTGAGGTGGTGAATGAGTGTGAGGGTACTAATTCTTCAGAGAGGATAGTTACAAAAGGTAAGTACAATTATGATAGCCTTGATCTTTGAGAGTGGGTATCCCAATAATCTCTATCCCACATGCTCTAATATTCTTGGACTCCTTGAATCTTGGACTGTGTTGAATTGATGAACTGGGCTTGGCCTGTATTTCTACTGGATCTAGGCTTGCTTGATTTATTGGTTTTGGCCCATTTATATTTGGGCTCATCACTTGCCCCCATACCCCAAACCCTGGTGGTGAAGGGGTTAAGGGAATGAGTGAGTTTTTTACTTTTTGGTGGCTTGCTCCCCGCGATAACCTCTTTGTCTGAAGAAAAAAAAAGGTTCTTATCTTGCCCGGTGGTAGCTTCTTCTTCCTCTTACTCTATTTACACCTTAAGAGCTTGTTCTTTCAGCTTTATAATCACTGTGGTTAGTAAGTCATCACGCCTAACAATTATGCTATGACAACTTGGTGAACTTAATAGTGAGGTCTTATGTTTTACTCAGGTACTTGCTTTTAGGCATCAAAGGGGCACTTCTTATCAAACCCACTATATTCCTTTTTAGAACTAAGGCTTAAAATCATCATTTTCCCCTTTCTACATAAACCCCCAAGAGAGAGGCCTGAGAAGATGATGGAGAAAAGTTCCCCATTATCAAGCAGAAAAATGGGGGAATCTATAATCAGTGCTCTTGGGTTTTTTGCATTNCACATAAACCCCCAAGAGAGAGGCCTGAGAAGATGATTGAGAAAAGTTCCCCATTATCAAGCAAAAAAATGGGGGAATCTATAATCAGTGCTCTTGGGTTTTTTGCATTCAAATAGATCGGTGGGCAAGGCGACATTGAAGTTAGTTCTGCTGGCTGTAAAAGGCTGGGAAGCGACCATGGAGTACCCGATAGTGGCATAGCAAGCAATGTCACAAGACGTAATGGAAGAGGCAAAGAAAAGGGTGCATTTGAGGTATTTTGGGTGAAGCCACAGTTGGCAAGGGCGTCATGGGTGACACCATAGCTAGCGAGGGCGTCATGGGTGATGCCACAGCTAGCGAGGGGGCCATGGACCACTCCCACTGTAGGATTGGTGATGACCTAGATGGCTTTGACAATGGCTTCATGGGCGATCTTGGCACTGGCTCAGAGGCCACACCAAGCATAGCCCAGGCGGCGCCAGGCAAGGCCATGGGTAATGCCAGCTAGTGCTCAGGAATTGACAACAACAAGGCGTTCGGTGCACTAGGTTATGCAGGAGGCAACACAGAGAATAAGGAAAGAGAAAGTGGCGCCAATGTTGGAGATCTGGGCGATGCTAAAGGTAGGCTAGGCATGGGCGACCCCCTGGGCTTTAAGGTGGTGTCGCTATTGGGCTTTTGGGAGGGGCCCTTGCTGGGCTTGAAGGCAGCATCCAAAAGGGCATTGGCTATAGTGGTGGCATTTTTGGGCGCTTGGGTACCAGAAAGTAAAGAGCAAATGTTATTCACATGGGTAAGATGTATGGCCCTAAGCCTCCGCTCCATGGACTAAGCCCCAGGAAATCTCCCATCATCTAACGCAACAGATATTAGTATTCCCTTGACACTAACTTTGATTCTGTCATGGTTTTGTTTGATGGAAGACACCTATTCTAGCGAATAGGAGGAGGATACTCCAAAAAGTAGGCGAGGCAAGGGGACAGCTAGAGACAATATCTCAAAGGTGACTTCCATTTTTAACTCCATTGACCATGATGAGGATATTGTATGTATTGTGTCTTCATACAACATCCCTCCTGCTGTATTGTGTTGTCGGGCGAAAGAGGATGAACTAGCATGTTGTGACACTTCGGGTGAGATTTTTCTTTACGAGGATGCCCTGGAGGTGGGCTTGAGGATCTTGATACCTGGGCCCATATGTTAAATTTTGGAGCACCTGTCGCTGGCTCCCAAGAGATTGGCTCCTAACGAGTAGAGGGTGATACTGGCATTTTCCTCATTATGACGGTTGGTTCACAGTGCTGACATCCCTCCCCCATTTGAGGAGTTCTTAGTGGTATAATCAAGGGTGGTACCATTTCGCCCTGATGTTGCGTAAGTTCATCAGTGGGCTTCCTTTGAACTGTTATAGTTGGAAGTCTAAGTTCTTCTTTGTTTGAGGTGAATGGGTCATTGATAGAGATCACGACCTGGTGCCTTCAAGGTGGGACACCGTCCTGAGGACCAAGCTAGGTAAGGATTCTACTATCGTCTTTACTTCTAGTCGTTACACATCTATTCTCACTGTCTAATTGGTTTTTATATATTTCCGCCCATATTATCTACAAAGTAGGAGAGTAGGCTCCAAATAATTTGTAACCATCCTTTCAAGGAGTTTTCAGAGATCCTGTCTACGTCAGGTTATCCCAAGGTCTCTTATCAGCTGAAGAGAAAAGGTACCTGATCCTTCCAATAGACTCTTGATGGTTACAACAGTGTAATTGTTTGTCTCACACTAAGTTTGTAGGTACTTCTATCGATAGGGCGATGGTCGGGGCTATTTTCGCTTCTAGGGTGGTTTCTTCCCCTCCTTCTTCTAAGAGGGTGAGGTCTAATGTCTCTGGTGTTTTTTAGATGAAGTCCACCAGCCAGGCTAGTCCCCGAGAGGTGAAACCTGGTGATGCCCGTTCTTTCCTGGTTGCTATTCCTTCACCCCCTAGGGATAGTCCTAGTACGATTGTGGGGACTAAGGCCCTAGTGCGATCTCCTATTAGAACATAGGCTTTCCCTAGCCATCTTTCCTTGAACAGTAATTCAATATCCATGTTATAGGGCGTGAATCTAGCCAAAGAGCAGCTTTGGGGGTTTATGATTCATACGGAGATCCAGGGCGTTGCCTTTCAAGGTCCAGAGGGCATTATTGACACTGCCATTGAGGGTTTTGCCTCGGTATGCCCTTTATTCTCCTTTGGTTTCGTACCTAACTTATTTTCTTCATATTCCTTTTTCTAAATGCCTATAGGTGGCCACTATTTTTCCCTACTTATTTTCAATTACATTGAAACTTAGGGAGGCACTTGATGGTCAGGCAGCAGAGGGGCAGGCATGAAGGGCTGCTGATGAGTAGTTGAGGCTCAAACTACAGGCGCGAGAGGTTGCTGAGGAGTAGTCGAGGCTAGCACACGAGAGAGCTGCCATACTTGAGATCAAGCTTGAGGTGTCCCACAAGAGGGCCGCCTAGTTAGAGGTTGACAAAGAGGATGCATGTGCGAGAGTAGAGACAAAGTTGCGAGCGTCCCGTGGGAGGGCTGCTGTAGCATAGGCTGACCTTCGAGCAGCTCTTGAGAGAGTTACCAAGGCAAAGGCTTACTCTATGGAGATGGAGAAGAAGAGGGATGATGCTGAGAGGTCCGTGGTAGGCGCCTTTATCGATGGCTATGAGGAGCTTAAGGGGAAGGTTTCAGCAGCTTTTCCCACTTATGACTTTTCTGGCTTTGTTTCTTAGGAAACTCTCGAGTTTGAAGATGAGGAGGCGGGCGATGATGGAAGCAAAGACAGTGAATAATGTCAGGAGCATGGTATCTTTGTATTTATGTTTTTGTTGCTAGGTTATGCTCTATCTTTTGTAAATGCTTTATGAACTTCTATGAACTGAGAAACAACTTTTTTGAAAAAGACAAAATCTTGCAAAATTTTATTTCATGATCTGAACTAGGTAACAATGAAAATTAAATAAACAAGAAATAACTCAAGTGGTAACAGCTGACTTATGCATCCATGTCCTGCCCCCAGTTATTAGTAATATTTCTTTAGGTGTTTTGCATTCCATGGATGGGCTAGAACTTTTTCCTTGGAATCCTGAATTATGTAGGTGACCGGTCTTACAACTTTTATGACCATGTAAGGTCCTTCACAATTAGGTCCTAACTTTCCTTCTTTGGTAGCCAGGATGACTTTTTTGAGGACAAGGTCCCCAGGCAAGAAGGACTGAAGCTTCACCCTCGAGTTGTTGTACTTGGTCATGCAAAGTTTGTACTCTACATTTTTAAGCATGGCTATCTCCCACTCCTCCTCTACCAAGTGGAGGTTGATGGGAAGGCCTTCTTCATTGCTAGTAGGGTTATGGTGATGGACCCTAAAGGAGTGTACTCCAATCTCAACGGGAATGACCACCTTTGTTCCATAGGCTATGGAGAAAAGGGTCTCACCCGTGCTGTTTCTTGCTGTCGTTCGCCCACAACACTCCTGGGAGTTTGTCTATCCATCATCCTTTTGCACTCTCCAATTTGATTTTCAAGTTGTGGAGGATGGTCCTGATGGTGACCTTCATCTATTGATTCGCCTATGGGTGGGTTAGGCTGGAGTAGCATTGCCTGATCTGTAGGTCAACACAAAAGTTGTTAAGGAGTTTGTTGTCAAACTACTTGGCATTGTCGCTCAAAATGGCATGAGGTATTCTGAAGCGGTAGACTATACTCCTCCATATGAAGTCTTTCACCTTCTGGTCTGTTATCCTAGCTAAGGCCTCAACTTCTGCCCACTTGGTAAAGTAGTCAATGACTATCACTACGAACTTGCACTGGTCCCGATTCATGGGTAGGGGACTTAGGATGTCGATCCCTTACATGGAGAAGGGCCATGGGCTTTGAATGGTGGTGAGCTCTTTAGGTGGTTGTTTGGGTACAATCACCCAGTGTTGGAGCTTATCGCACTTCCTGACAAACTCTCAAGCATCTCTGATTAGGCTAGGCTAGTAGCAACCTTGCCTTACTACTTTTTGGGCTAGTGCATGCCCTCCTGAGTGATTTCCACATATCCCTTCATGAATTTCCCTCATGGCATAATTGGCTTCCTCGAGGGTAAGATAGCGGAGAAGTGGCAGTGACTAACTCTTTTTGTATAGTGTGTCACGTAAGGTAACATAATTGGATGCTCTCATCCTCAATTTTTTGGCTTCCACTGGGTTGTCTGGGAGAGCACCCTCCTCTAGGTAGGCTTGGATGGGTGTCATCCAGCTGGCTTCCAAGGATGTATAATTAACATCGTTCTCCTTTGTCTTAAATATGCTTGGCTCGAACTGGTGGATTGTCAGTGTCAGGCCCGTGAATATATTGGCAGACGGGAATTTAGCAAGGGTGTTTGCCATGGCGTTCTCCTCTCAGGGCATATGGTGGATTTGGAGGAAGGCAAACCTTTTTAATAAAGCCTGGACCACTGACAGGTATTCTTGCATTCTCTCGTCCTTTGCTTCAAAGTCTCCCTTTACCTGGTTAACTATCAACTATGAGTCATTGTAGGCTATTAGGCTCTAATGCAAGCTTTAACCTGATATGAGGGCCTCATATTCAGCTTAGTTGTTTGGTGTAGCAAAGTGGAGGGAGATGACGTAATTCAGCAGAGTGCCATGGGTGCTGATCAGCACTAGTCCCGCGCTGCCGCCCTCACTGGTGGAGGACACATCCACTTAGACTCTCCAACTTGGTATAGTATGTGGTAGTGAAGGCACGGAGAGTTCATATAGAGTAAGAACAAGGGAGTCAGGCGCCTCCAGTCTCGGAGTGTGGTCTCCCGAGGCCTGTGGAGCTAAGATGTTAGGTCCTCTTAGGGTAGTGTTTGGGCAAGCCTCATGGTGGGTGGAGGCAATATGTTTTGAGTAGGTGGACGCAGGGGCGGGTGATACTTCCTCCTAGGACTCTTGTGGTAGGGTAGACTCCTGGGATTCTTATGGTGGCGTAGAATCGCGAGACTGTTGTGGCGGTGTAGATTTAGCCATGAAGTCCACGAGGGCTTGTGCTTTGATGGCCATCCTCGATTGATACTGCACATCGAACTCACTTAATTCAACTACCCACTTTAGTAGTCACATCAGGTTTTCCCAGAATTCACTTGATTGGTTGCTCTGTAACCACCACGATGGCATGGATCTGAAAGTAGTGGCATAGACACCTCGTGGTAGTGACAAGTGTGAGAGCCAAATTTTCAAGCTCTGAGTACCTTAACTTTGCTCCTCGGTATGCCCTGCTTACATAATAATTAGGCTTTTGGATGTGTCCATCCTCCTGAACAAGGAAAGAACTCATAGCAGAGGGTGAAGATGAGAGGTAGAGATACAACATTTCTCCCGATATAGCATGGAAGAGCAAAGGTTGTGTGACAAGGTAGGCCTTAAGCTTCTAGAAGGCCTCCTCTACATCTAGTCCCCACTGAAAAGACCTGCGAAGGATTTTTAAGAAAGGCATGTATTTATCTGCTGATTTAGAGACAAACCTGTTGAGGGCCGCTATCTTCTCGTTAAGGTGCTGGACCTCCTTTTACTGAGGCTCGGAACTTCATCTCCAAGATGGCTCTGATCTAGTTTGGGTTAACTTCAATTCCCCTTTTGTTGACCATGAAGCCTAAGAACTTTCCTGAACCGACGCCAAAGGCACACTTTTCAGGATTTAGCTTCATCCTATAGGTTCTCAGTACATCGAAGGCTTTCTGGATGTGTGTCACATAGTCTGCCGCAGCCATACTCTTTACCAACATATCTTTTATGTAAACCTCCATAGTCTTCCAAATCTGAGCCTCGAA